AAGATGGGGAAACACATTAACCAGAGGTATCTAGGGCATGTGTAATGCCCACTCCTGGGTCTCCCTTTCTCCTTTTTATGTGCTGGCTGTGTGTCCTGAGCTTGAACGGTTCTCACCTTAAGAGAGCTGCTTCTCTTCAGAGCGGTGGGGAAACGTGGTTTAAAACCAGAAATCCAGGCTCTGCCACTAACCAGCTCTGTGACAGTGGGAAAGTCCCTTAGCCTCCTGGGATTGTTATCCCTTAAGAGATGCCAAGATTCCTTTTTTGCTACAGGCCTGTCCAGGGCCTACTCTGCAGATACAGGGTTGTAGGCTGCTGTCAGGAGTTGAAAATTAAGTATGAAATGATCCCATCTCAATGCTTTTTCTCTAGTTATGGCCTTAAGTTCTATAATACCTAGCCCCTGGCGAGCAACTGAGTATCAAGGAAGCAGAGTGAAGGTTGCTTTGGAAACAAGGAAGAGGAAAACAGAGGTTTGATTGGCCCTGAGGTTCCTTCGGTGCTTCTGCTGTTTGCTTTACTGAGGAGGTAGAGTGAGTCACACCTGTTGTTCTAAAATTGAGTGAAGATGCCTGCGCAGCCAAGGCCACTTCCTGAAATCCTTGTAATCTACTACACAACGCCGACACAGGGTCAGGATGGCACAGGCACGCTCTGATTCTCCCTGGATGCCACTTACACATCGCTTGTTCTTTAAACTGGGCACCGCAGAGTCCCATCCTCTTACCTGTTCTGTCCTCCTCATGTAGTCTCTGCCTGGCTCATCACATGCATGCCCATGGTTACCTGGAGACTCGTGACACCCCAGCCCAAGTTCTCCAGTCTGACGCTCCCCTCTAAGTTCCAGGTTAAGTGGCTACTAGACATCTCCAGTCAGATGTCCCACAGGCATCTGTACTCTACAGCCCAACTGCACCCCTCATCCTCACTCCCGGCTGTTCTCTCTCTCCAGTGTTCTCTATTTGGTGACTGATAGCAGCCTCACCAGGCTCCTATAATTACCACCCGGTGAGGCCTCCCAGATCCATCACTGCAGTTTCTGCTCACATCCAACCAGCTAGCATTGACTGACATTCCCTATATCACTGTGTTTGTGTTTCCTCAAAGGATTACTTCCCTTTTTAAGCCAACTCTTCTGTGGTTTTGTTCCCTTTAGGGTGACTTAGGAGGCCTGGCTGCCTTTCCTACATCTTACCACCTTCCATCTTCATTGTCTCCACCCTCCAGCCATCTTGTGGTGCAAGGGGGGGTCACCGGCCCTACGCTTTTCTTCAGCTGTGGCTTGTCTGCATCAGGTTTCTTTCCCTGGAGTCCCTCCTTCTTCCCCATCCCAAGCCCCTCACCTGGCTGCCTCCTTCCTCCTCACTTTTCAGGAGGTCACATAGCATCTCCTCCTCTGGAGGCTTCCTTGACCCTCTCACCCAGGTCAGTGACTCTTCCTAGGAACCTTCATGGCATCCTGCAGCGACCTCTATCACAGCACTGATGCCATCAGTTCAGGTGGTCCTCTGAAGTGGGACATGGTGATGATCTATTCTCAGCTCCTGACACAGTGCCTCGCTCTCAACATCTGAGGCAAATAAGCCCATTTTATAAAGAAAGAAACTCCAACTTGTCTCGGGGTGGCAGTGGGACCCAGGGTTCTAATGCCTCCCATTGTATTTGTGAAGTTGGCAGCAGAGACAAATCCCCATGGACGTCCACGGGTTCCCACAAACCCTCAAAACTAGCTGATTGCTTAGATTTCCGTGTACCATCTGTCACCAGCTCCTCCACTTTGCCCAAGGAGTTGACCAACCACCTGCGGTCCAGGAGCTGGCGACTCACAGGTACCTGAGCATCATAGCCGAGTTTAAGAAAAAGAAGGTAGAAAATTGAGTGTCAGCTGTCCAGGTGCCGGGAGTCAAAGATGATAACTTGCCCTCAGATGTCCGTGCCTCCAACAGAAGCGGCTTGTAGAACCAACGAGCTCCCGCTATGGAATCTGAGGCGGAGCTGAGAATCTGGGCGTGGTGTGGGTGGAAGGGGTGGAGGCAGTTATCCCAAGGGTCCATATATCAGATTGTTCCTGGAGAAATCACTGCAGAGTCAGCCAGCCAGAAGGGAGACTGGTGGTACCCCCTTTCTCCCTGTCCTCTCCTCCCTATTTCTTGGCACTTTGCCTGCCATCAGATTAATAATATTTTTTTAATTCCGATAGGAATGACAACCTCATGGGGAAAAACTGGATGGAAGATTAAAACAACATCAAGAAGTAGAAGATTTTCCTGTATACGGGCTTAAACACTTGCTTTGTACAAGAGGTTGTGAATTAATATCTTTGTCTCAGGGGTGTAATTTTTCTCCTCGAATCTTTAGAGTAGTTTCCAGAATTGTAAAAGCTGTTTCCATAACCACGTCTGAAGCTGACGGGGCCCCAGTACAGTCATCTCCATGAGGGATGAGAAAGGTATTGCCTTCAGACGCCAACGTGCAACATAAATTAAGATGTTAAAAACACACACACACAAAATGTTTGAAAACAGTAATGCCTTAACAAAAACCTGTAATGATTTTTCCTATGCAAAAGGGTAGGACTTACAAAACAAATGATTAGAAGTATAGGTTAGATTTAGAAAGGAAATCTGAATAGAATAATTCCTTTCCACGGACAACAATATTTGATGTTAAGTTTGGTTATAATACTATTAAATGAATTTACATACATAAAATGAAAGTTATACTTTTCATCACAAAAGTGCTTTTTAATTTAGAAAACATTAAGTCACTCTATGTTCCCTTATAGGCATTAATGCATTGCTTACACTAGGAATTATGTTTAGAAAAATGTGCTTGCCCATACCTTTTCAGAGCACAGCTTTCAGAATAGGAAATGATTTCCAAGGGGAAATTGAGAGAACATTAGGGTGGCTGTTGTGTTTAAATCTTGATATTCTTATTGAAGATTAGTCATTTGAAGATTCAACAGCCATGGAGTATCTGGGATCTGCCTGACCTCAACCAGAACTGGCCCTGTTATCCTTTCCTTAGCATCAGGAAGAAAATTCAGGCCAGGACTTCCAGGGTCCAGAAAGGACCCTCCTCTCTGGTTCAGAGGGGACCTCTCAGTTCCTCAGGTCAAATCTTCCCTCAGTCAATTCTTAGCTGTGAGACCTTGGGCAAGTTATTTAAATTTCTTTGTGTCTCACTTTCTTCATCAGTAATTTAGAGATAACAGGAGGGTTAAATCATTGTATGTAGTCTTAGGACAGTTTATGACTGGTGCCTAGCAGATCCTCAATAAATATGAACAATTGCTGTGCTATGATTGACATTGGAAAGCTCCCATGCTTTCTAAGGAATTGGCGTGACTAAGAGAGACTAAGTACCTACCCTCAGACTGTGCTGTGAGCAAATTATTCAGTGAACAGTCAAAAGTATTTAGATAAAACATCTTGTCTTCAATGCCTTAGCATCAATTGTTAAAACACACACACACACACACACACACACACACACACACACAACAATGGGGGGGAAATCCTGGCAAGGGGACAAGTTTGGAGAATTGTCTGAAAGCGGTCATTGTATTCAGGTGGCCTGGCAGGCTACTGTAAACACGAGAGATAGCTGTGGGGAGGAAATCAGAGCCCATTGTGGGCCCATAAAATGGATGTCTTTTCAACTAAACAGATTGATATCAGTCTAACAGAGGGACTCAGGTTCCTTTCTGCTGGGCCATTTCCTTTACTGAGTGTCTGTAAGAACCACCCAGGCGGGTGTTTCTCAGGACAGCAGGCTTTTAGGTCAAATAGAAAGCCTGGGAGTGGCCGAAAAAGCCCGACACAGGCGGGTAGTGACGCACGAGCTGGATGACATCACCCTCCCTGCTGCCGGGTGGCGGGTGGCGTGGAGGCTGCGGTGCCCGGGTTTGTGCAGCTTCTCTCCCGTGGAAGCACCAGCAGCCAGGACCACAGGGAAGAGCTTTGTGCTGACATAGCTGAAGGCTTCCCGGCTGAGAACAGCCTTCCGTTCGTTCATTTCAGAAGCTGGGACATCCTCCACGCGTTGTCATCCTCCCGCAATCCAGGATGGACAAGACCCAAGAGCCCCCGGCCATGACTGTCCACCTGCTGGCCAGCTCTGGGCAGGGTGCGCTCCTGCAGCAAGCTCTGGATCAGCTCCTGGGCTGCCTTTGCCCAGAGGTCCGTCTCTTTATGGTGTCAGAGCGGGTCAGTGCCGTGAAAAACTATGACAAGGGCCACCCCAAGCGGTCCCGGTTCCCAGGGATGTCTGTTCTGCTCTTCCTGCACCACAGCCGCGGAGAGGAGCGGCTGCTTCGAGTTCTCCACTCGCTGCGGCAGTGGCCCTGGCAGTGCTACCCCGGCCTGAGCCTGCAGGGCAGCCCGTGTCCTTACAGTCTCGCCCGCCAGGAGTTCTACACTCTGGACAGCCACATGCCCGTCTGGGGCGTGAGGCAGGTGCACTGCGGCACCGAGGTCCTGCGAGTGACGCTCTACTGCACCTTTGATAACTACGAAGACGCCATCAGCCTCTACGAGATGATCCTGCAGAGGGAAGCCACCCCGCAGAAGAGCAACTTCTGTTTCTTTGTGCTCTACGCCACCGAGAGCTTCGCCCTGCAGCTGTCCCTGAAGCAGCTGCCCCTTGGAATGTCGGTGGACCCCAAAGAGTCGTCGGTGCTGCAGTTCAAGGTCCAAGAGATTGGCCAGTTAGTGCCTCTCCTCCCCCATCCGTGTGTCCCCATCAGCCGCACCAGGTGGCAAACGCAGGACTACGATGGCAACAAGATTCTGCTTCAGGTATCTCTGTTTGGCCTCTGTGACCTGGTAGACACACATGGGATGGTGTGATTTTACATTGAAGGTGGGCCTGAGAGATGATTGAATGTGGGGTTCTCAGGCTAGGTTGTGTCTCAGAACCCCTGGGGAGCTTTAAAAAATTCCCAGGACATGCCCTAACGGGTTTGGCTCAGTGGATAGAGCGTTGGCCTGTGGACTGAAGGGTCCCAGGTTCCATTCCGGTCAAGGGCATGTACCTTGGCTGCGGGCATATCCCCAGTAGGGGGTGTGCAGGAGGCAGCTGATCGATGTTTCTCATCGATGTTTCTAACTCTCTATCCCCCTCCCTTCCTCTCTGTAAAAAATCAGTAAATATATTAAAAAGAATTCCCAGGACAGTAAGATCAGAATGTCCAGGGGCACCCAGGCCTGGGCATTTCTTAAAAAGCTCCTCGGATGATTCTAATGTGTAGCGTGTAGTGGTGTTGAGAGTCACTGATCTTGTAAAATCCCCCTCATGGGGCAGATAAGCAAGTTCAGGCTCTGTGGACAGACAGCTGCTTCTGAACCACTTGCTGATCGACTGCTTGTTCTCAGGAAACAAGTTTGTCTCTTCAGAAAGTATGTATATTCCAGAAGCTGGATTGCTGTAAACAAGCATGCATTTCTTTTCATTTTATCAACAGACATGGAGCTAAGCTCATCCTTATGTCCTTTTTAGCCATTAAAATAAAGGAACATAGTCTTTCATGAAGTAGTTCATTTTCTTCTTCTATAGCATTTCTTGAAGTCTGCTTTCTCATTTCTAAGTCTCTCAACTGCACTCACTCGGACTCTGTTCCTCTCTCTTTGTCTTGCTCATTTTCTTTCCATTCTCCATCCCTGTCCCTCATCTACCCCACACCTAGTGAGACTCTCTCTCTCTCTCTCTCTCTCTCTCTCTCTCTCTCTCTCTCTCCCCCCCATTCCCACTCTCTCACTCTCAATAGTTTGGCTT